TATTATTATTAATATTGTTATTTTTAATAATACAACCACAGTTGCCCATCTAAGTGTAGCATGTTAGCATGATGGCGTATCATTGCCCTCTTTCAGCCCCTGCACCGCTACATCATTTGGGTCAGGCTGTTATCCACCTGGTGTAATTAAAAAGCTGGGAGACTGTTGAGTAACAGCTGGGATGATTGAACCTTCATGCTCCGCCTCAGAGACAGAGCTGCAGTTTCCAAGACTGGAGAAGGATATCAGGTCAGGAACTCAAGAGCATGCTTGCTGTTTCTTTTTTTAACAATCACATTGTTATGAACTGTGAGTTCATCCCCAGGGTCTGTCAATCCAGAATCCAACTGAGACATCCTGGGCCGTCTGAGGGAGCGCATTCAACTGACCCGAACTGTGGCATGATGGCATGTAGGTGCTCCAGTGTACTGTGTGTCCAGCATCAGCTCAGTGATGAACATGGGTTTTTTTGTTCACAACAACACAATTGTTAATCTCCACCCACCCCACTCTCCAAATTTGTCTTTCCACGACTTCTTCCTCTTCTCCAAAATGAAGTGAATTTTTGAGAGTTCCCGTTTCGACCCAGTTTTGACACAAGTCATCACAGATGGTGTTTGACGTGTTTACAGAATGGGACCTCCAGGGAGCGTTACAAGTGCTGCAGGAGCACTAGAGCATTAGGAGCGGTGTGTCACTGCACAAAGAGGCTACTTTGACAGAGTTGGTGGCCAAATTAAAATTTTTGTAGGCACAGTATTTGAGCTTTTTGATCACACCTTGTGTCTGAACTAAATTTCAAGGCAATCAGTTCAATAGCCACTGAGGCTGTATGCACACAAAAAAAAACAGACTGTGATCTTCACAGTGGTGTTGAGGAAAGTTCACAGGATCACCAAAGTCAAGAGGATTTATCGTATGGGAAACATGAATGTCTGACCCCATTCCATTCATAGATCCACACATGGTTGAAAAGTGCTAAAAACAAAGACTTTTGTCCTTCATATTGTGTGACCCTGTGACCAAGGATAGGAAAAAATCTGCTGGATGTTGAAGTGAAACAAGCAGTGGAGGCTCTCTGGTACTGGCCTGTGTTTGAACTCCACGGACCTCCAGCTCTCAGACAGAGTTCGTGTTTCATGCCTCCTCTCTCTGCCGGCCTTGTTCTGGTTGCAGTGGTGAACATGAAGAGGGCAGGGGGGCGGCATAATGACCAGAGCATGTACTTACCTTATCCGCCATCAGCCGGCTACACAGAGGCAGCACAGAGACGCCACATATGAGCCAGAGTACATGTGGGGTAAACAGAGTGGTGAACTTTCGGCTGGTAAGTAAGACTCCAGCTCTGTCTGAGGCAGGCCGCCGTAGCTGGAGGGGGCAGGGAGGAAGAAGGTGGCCTCAGAAAGCAACGTCTGTTTCTGCTCTGACAGAGTCTGATTCAGTCTTTTCACAAGCTCTTACACACTTAGAGGAGTTTTTGAAGGGGTCGAGATTCTAAAGTAGATAACTTAAGTTGTCTGGTACCAAAAAGTTTTTTAAAAAAATGAAAATGGGCATTTTTGATTGCTCATTGACACTGAAAATCAAGTGGAGCAAAGCAAAAAAGCTGTCTCATTTTGTTCTTTGGTATAATTTCCATTTTCCAAATATCCTTGGCAAAGTGAAGACCACAGATAATATTCAGTTCAATTCAATTTCAATTCAATTTTATTTGTATAGCGCAGTTTACAACATATGTCATCACATAGTGCTTAACATAGTGCGGTATAGACCTTACAAGTTTAAACAGAGAACCCAACAACCAAAGTAGCCTTTGGACTCCCTCTGAGCAAGCGTTTGGCAACGATGGGAAGGAACCAAAACCTAAAACCTGAATGAAACTCTTCAGACAAACCATTTCTGTACAGATAATCACATAAATGGCTTGCAACAACTTCTTCAAGAATTTTAGAACTTAAAGGAAGGTTGGATATGGGCCTATGGTTTGCTAAAACACCTGGATCTAGAGTAGACGTTTTGAGTAGGAGTTTTATTATAGCTACTTTAAAAGCCTGCGGTACCTAGCCTGTTAATATAGAGAAGTTGATGATATTTAATACTGCAGTAATAATTAGAGGAAATATTTCCTTGAACAATCTAGTTAGGATTGGGTCTAACAGACATGTCACTGGTTTAGAAGAATTTACTATCACCATGAGCTCTGAGAGATTTACAGCAGAGAAGCAGTCTAAGTATCAGTCTGGTCCTATGGATGCATCATGAGCTGCTGCACCTAAAGACATGCAAATATTTTTTTGTCTAAATGCATAATACAGATAAATAAAATACTAGACAATACAAAGAGTAAAATTAAACTGAAAAATAAAAGTAAAAATAAGCTATTTTTTCCCACTTTTATTCATTTGTTTTTCAGCATTGATAAACATTGGAAAAATGAACCTGTTCTCTTGGGTTTGTTTTCATCTGCTCGATTTTGTTGGGGAATTATACAATTTTACAATAACGGTCCTCGCATCTCTGTATGCAAAATGTCATCATTTTGAGGAAACACCATTGACTCATTCTTTGCTTAGCGCTGCCAAACATGATTTTGATCCATCTAAATGAATACAAACGACCCAGAGAGTTTGTCGGCCTACAGCAGAATAATGATGAGGTGCAGTCAGACAACTCTGTACAACAGAATGGTGACTATACAAGAATAGATCTACAGCAACTACAAACTCCAGTGTCTTGAAGCTATTAACCATCTTATGATAGCTGCCTCTGGCAAGATCATTCACTAGGTCATCCGTCAAACAGATTTCATTAAGTGACAGAACTTGTGCATCCATAACATATTTAAATTTTTTGGAAAATTTAATACAAATTTCAAAATTTGAGAAAACTGACTAGATTTTGAAAAAGTTTTTCCGCTTGCTTTTTGACATTAAAGAAAAACGTCGATTAGCTTCATGGGGGATGGAAACAGCTTTTCCGGATATGTTCATATTTCTTCTGTTTTGTGTATTACAGCCATGCGTATCGTGATATATAGCGCCACCTCCTGACAACACTGTGCAGCCTGCTTTATTCACTCCAAAGCAGTCAACGGAAACAAACTTAATTCACGCTATCTTTTTATTTTTTTGCCGCATTTCAAAAGTTTGCATCAAATTAATGTGACAAGTTTATAGAAACCACTGAGTTCAGCACTCCCCCTCCCTGTCAGCAGATGTGAATCCAGAGGGCCTTTAAAAGACTGTCAGCATCAATGTGCAGCTGACAAATCTTTAGAAAAGATGAACAAGGATAGAAAAGATATTCAGGACTTGTGGGGTCTTTTGGACCCCAGGCCATTAGGTTTAGGTGACAGGTATTGTTTTGGTTTTTTTAACTTTTAAAGATTTTTTTTTTCCAATATAAAAAGAGGGACATTTGTCATGCATTTGGAACCAAAACTATGTCAACTCAAGTAGAATACTTAAATGATATCTGCTCATACAGCCTTAGTGCAACTACACCCACATTTTTGGGAAGGACAACAAAAAGATGGGACTCCTGGGTGAGCATGTCTGCTTTAAATCAGGAACATAATAAAGGAACTTTGTGGAAACAGACATGAATAATCCACGAGGTGTCTAAATGTGCATAAGGATACGCATTTATCTCAGCTTTGTCGAGGTAACAAAAGCTGGGTCAGGAGGGCCAGTGGCAGTTATTGAGTTTCCTCATTGTAATCACAATACTCAACATCAGCCAGTAGATGTCACCAACTCTCTACTCTGGATTTAAGTGCAAAGTACCTTTACTATAGCTGAGTGTTATACTTTCGTGCCAATCTATATTTTTACTTCAGTAGATTGGATGTCTTGCTTGTATGTTGCTGTACATGGGGGATCACCGGCATGTCTGTGGTCAGGTGCTCCTTGTCTTAAAATTAGCAAGTTGAACTGAAATTCTTATTTAATATATTCATTAGTCAATTAACAGAAAGTACTTTTACACATACAATATTTAATAACAGTTGGAGTCATTTTTCATACATAATACAGAAATTTTATGGTACAAGCTTCTCAAATGTGAAGATTGCTTTTCCTTTGAATTTTTTTTTTCTTGAAAATTTGACCTTGTGCACAAACAAGCAAGATTAAAGGCTTGCAACCTATTTTTTAAAAAATGAATTTTAAAATAATTTCAAAATCATTTGAATTTTAAAATGCGTCTTACACTTACAGTGATAATTCAGTGTAATATAAAATTATATATTATATCACAGAAGGAAAACGCTGTGGTGAATATTAGAACATTTTCAATAAATTCCAATAAATTAAATTTTTCTCATTATTATTACATACTTTTATACACATTACATAAGCTTTTGAATGTTGAACTTCTGTCTGAAATTTGTTATTTTACAGCACTTGAACAGCATTCTTTCTTTTAAATAAATTATTCTATCATTGAAATATTTAAGGTGAGACACTACTGATTTTTCATGGACATTGTCATTGTCAATTTTGACTTTTTGAGGTTGTTCATTAATCTTTTTTTTTTTTTCAGAAATGGAAAGGAATCATCCAAAACTCAAACTTAGGTGATATTTCTGCACTTAGTGTGTCTGTGTCTGTAGGTTCAAACTGAAACTACAGACAATGGATAAAACCAGAATGAAACCAGAACATTGAACCGTTCAATGTTCTGATTTCATTCTGGTTTTATCCATTAGCACAAATTGGGGCATTGTAAATATATAAAAACCTATTTGAGTATTCAAACCTAATAATTTGGAAACCTGTAATACCAAAAATAATTGCCTTAATGTGAATCATTAACAGGTGATATCTATCCGTTCAAATGTTCCCAATTGATCTGTGATTACAGAAGAGTCATAATACAGAACAACAGCTGGTGGCGAAAGTGCTCCGCTCGGTTGCAGTTTATTTAGAAGAAGAAGAAGAATTCAACCAATCAGGGAACAGGTTGCTGCTGCCTGGCAACCAGCAACCAATAGGAACCCTGAGTGTGAGCGCGGATAAACGGAATTGTTGTTGTGTTAGCGGTAGCTGTGAGATTTGTGTGTTTAGCGACAATAATTTTAGTTTTGACACCGTCAATTCCTCCCAGCATGAGTCTGTCTCTGAGGTAAGCCGTTCTGCCGCACTTACTGCTGTTATTTGCTGTGCGCAGTTCGCTGCAAAACCGCAAGACCAGCGCTAGCTTATTTATGTTAGCTGTAGCATGTTCGGCGTTTGTCAGCAGGGTTTGGTCCTGTAAGACTGTGATTACTTTGTTCGGTTACGGTTAATTATGTTGCTAACCAGCAAGCTGCCTCCTCTATTATTATTTATTCCTCCCCTGTTAACAGTTAAGTCTGTATCTGTAAAGCTCTGGATAATAATTTGCCTTGAATGAAAGTCAAACAGGTGCAATAACTACTGCTTGATTTGGTGTTACCAAACATTATACCTCCGCAGCACTTAGGTAGTCCCAATAGCTGTTTTATCATTCTACAGTTTCATTTAGCAGACGCTTTTGTCTAAAGCGACGTACATCCGAGATACACATTCATACACCAATGGCGACAGAGCAAGGTGCTGCCTGCCATCGATGGAGGGACTGGGGATCGAACCACCAACCTTGTGATTAGAGGACAACCACCTGAGCCACAGCCGCCCGAGCCGCTGTGATCACCTTCACTGTTTCAGAAACCATATTGCAAACCAAATATCCATGCATCCATTATCTATACACNTCTTACACTTACAGTGATAATTCAGTGTAATATAAAATTATATATTATATCACAGAAGGAAAACGCTGTGGTGAATATTAGAACATTTTCAGTAAATTCAAATAAATTAAATTTTTCTCATTATTATTACATACTTTTATACACATTACATAAGCTTTTGAATGTTGAACTTCTGTCTGAAATTTGTTATTTTACAGCACTTGAACAGCATTCTTTCTTTTAAATAAATTATTCTATCATTGAAATATTTAAGGTGAGACACTACTGATTTTTCATGGACATTGTCATTGTCAATTTTGACTTTTTGAGGTTGTTCATTAATCTTTTTTTTTTTTTCAGAAATGGAAAGGAATCATCCAAAACTCAAATTTAGGTGATATTTCTGCACTTAGTGTGTCTGTGTCTGTAGGTTCAAACTGAAACTACAGACAATGGATAAAACCAGAATGAAACCAGAACATTGAACCGTTCAATGTTCTGATTTCATTCTGGTTTTATCCATTAGCACAAATTGGGGCATTGTAAATATATAAAAACCTATTTGAGTATTCAAACCTAATAATTTGGAAACCTGTAATACCAAAAATAATTGCCTTAATGTGAATCATTAACAGGTGATATCTATCCGTTCAAATGTTCCCAATTGATCTGTGATTGCAGACAGAAGAGTCATAATACAGAACAACAGCTGGTGGCGAAAGTGCTCCGCTCGGTTGCAGTTTATTTAGAAGAAGAAGAATTCAACCAATCAGGGAACAGGTTGCTGCTGCCTGGCAACCAGCAACCAATAGGAACCCTGAGTGTGAGCGCGGATAAACGGAATTGTTGTTGTGTTAGCGGTAGCTGTGAGATTTGTGTGTTTAGCGACAATAATTTTAGTTTTGACACCGTCAATTCCTCCCAGCATGAGTCTGTCTCTGAGGTAAGCCGTTCTGCCGCACTTACTGCTGTTATTTGCTATGCGCAGTTTGCTGCAAAACCGCAAGACCAGCGCTAGCTTATTTATGTTAGCTGTAGCATGTTCGGCGTTTGTCAGCAGGGTTTGGTCCTGTAAGACTGTGATTACTTTGTTCGGTTACGGTTAATTATGTTGCTAACCAGCAAGCTGCCTCCTCTATTATTATTTATTCCTCCCCTGTTAACAGTTAAGTCTGTATCTGTAAAGCTCTGGATAATAATTTGCCTTGAATGAAAGTCAAACAGGTGCAATAACTATCGATTGATTTGGCGTTACCAAACATTATACCTCCGCAGCACTTAGGTAGTCCCAATAGCTGTTTTATCATTCTACAGTTTCATTTAGCAGACGCTTTTGTCTAAAGCGACGTACATCCGAGATACACATTCATACACCAATGGCGACAGAGCAAGGTGCTGCCTGCCATCGATGGAGGGACTGGGGATCGAACCACCAACCTTGTGATTAGAGGACAACCACCTGAGCCACAGCCGCCCGAGCCGCTGTGATCACCTTCACTGTTTCAGAAACCATATTGCAAACCAAATATCCATGCATCCATTATCTATACACTCACTAGGGTCGCGGGGGGGCTGGAGCCTATCCCAGTCGACTTAGGGTGAAGGCAGGGAACACCCTGGACAGGTCACCAGTCTATCACAGGGCTACACTTAGAGACAGACAACCAAGCACACTCACATTCACGCCTACGGACAATTTAGAATCACCAATTAACCTCGGCATGTTTTTGGACTGTGTGGGAGGAAGCTGGAGAGAACCCACGCTGCACAGGGAGAACATGCAAACTCCCCGCAGAAAGATCCCAGTGCCCCCACAGGGTCGCAAACCGGCAACCTTCTTGCTGCAAGGCAACAGTGCTAACCAACTACGCCACCTTGCAGCCCAACCATGATGATGAGTCTGTTGTTCATGGCTCATTTTATGACCATGTTAATGTCGTCAGGCTGATTGGAAGTAACAGGTGTTTTCAGTTTAGTTTCAGTGATCGCAGCTTTTCGAACTTGTGTGTCAGTGATCACAGGTGGAGGTTCTACTGTATTGTTTATTCTGTATTGTCAATATAGTCTTACCGAAAACATCTGTTATGTATATTTAATTGTTCATAAGAGGAAATACTCTATTTGCCAACTTAAAAACGATGCAGTAGTTTAGAGGTGCTGCAATTTTAAACCATTTGACTTTTACATGATATTGCACGGGAGTGTATTCACCTTTGTTATATACTGTAGCTTTCCTACAAAGGCAAAACATAGTTGGTACATGCTTGGTTTAGGTTGAACACTTAGAGATTTCTGTTTGTTGGTTGATACTACTGTTGATTATCTAAAGGCAGAGTGTGTTATCTGTTTGTTTCAGCTACTGTGTGGATTTAATGGCAGTCATTTTAAAATAATCAGCCTGAAGAAATATGCATTTTAAGCTTTGCAACCTTTCCAGTTTTTAACATCTGTGGTTACAGCTCTGCCGTTGTAGGACAGTTTGAGATTACACATCTATCAGAATTGTTCAATTTCTGGCAATGGGTGAAAATGAAATGTTTGTAGTCCCTGCTGAGTTTGTGTAACACGTGATGTGGCTTCTGTCTCTCCTCAGGCCTGAACTCCCAGCAGACAAAGCCAAGCGTAAGAAGAGAAGAGAGCTCACTGAGGATCAGAAACATGAAATTAAAGAAGCTTTCGAGCTATTTGACACTGACAAAGATAAAGAAATCGATTACCACGAGCTGAAGGTGAGCAAAGGAGGACACTTGTGTGTCTGACGAAAGAGAAGTTGGATGATGCTCAGCAGCAGTGCTGTCCGTTGTTCATGGTGAAATTTTAATAGTATGTGTCGCTAAATATGCAGTTAAGATGGGTTTGATTTTATGCCTGAAACATTTATCCATCCATCCATCCATCCATCCATCCATCCATCCATCCATCCATCCATCCATTTTCTATACACCGCTTAATCCTCACTAGGGTTGCGGGGGGCTGGAGTCTATCCCAGCTGACTTAGGGCAAAGGCAGGGGACACCCTGGACAGGTCGCCAGTCTATCGCAGGGAAACATTTATCCATCATTACTAATAAACAGATTGTATTGTATTGTGTTGAACTGCTGTTTTATATATTTCAGTTACTGGTTTGCCCATTCTTTAACCAGTGTCATTGTAAAACAGGAGTTAAATTTAATTCTATATGGCATTAAAAATGTGCTAAATTTAAAATACTGCAGAAACCCTGTTATCTCTGTAGGAGCAGACATCATGAATAAGCAAGGATGTTGTGTAAATGCATCCTGTGGGGACTGTTGGACTGATTCTGTCTTATGCACGTTAATATTGTTGTACTGATAATATCTGCAATGTGACATTCACGTCGAACATTCATGTCCCTTTATACGTGATCATAATGGTGTCCAGGTTACTGATTCTTTCTGTGCTGGTGTGTTTTTGACCCCAGAATATGATCAAAACTGTGTGTTCAAATCCATAGCATTTAGACATATATAACAACTGAAAACTCCCTACAGGTGGCGATGCGTGCACTCGGCTTTGAAGTGAAGAAAGTGGACGTTCTGAAGATTCTTAAAGATTATGACAGAGAGGGAAACGGCAAAATTACTTTTGAGGATTTCAATGAAGTAGGTAAGTTTGCCTTCAGAGAGAACTAAACCTGACAGAAGGGAGAAGAATCCTGACAGTCAACATAAACACATCTCTTTGTACACTGAAGTGCTTCAGCAAGTCCTGAAAATATTTTTCCACAGTGACAGATCGCATCCTGGAGCGAGACCCAAAGGAGGAAATCATGAAGGCCTTTAAGCTGTTTGATGATGACGAGTCAGGAAAGATCAGTCTGAGGAACCTGAGGCGAGTGGCTCGAGAACTTGGAGAGAACGTCAGTGACGAGGAGCTGCGCAGCATGATCGACGAATTCGACGCTGACGGAGACGGTGAAAGTAAGTCGGCTCAGCCTGGTTCTTACATCAGGTGTCTCTTAAGTCTGGAATATTACAATCAGTACTGACAATTAGTACAATACATTTGATATCATCAAAGAAAAGGTAAATCAGTGTGTTTTGATGTTTAACACTGAATGAACACAACTTGTTTGTTCTTGAGTAATTCCACAGTCGGACTGAACATTTAACCAAAATAGTATCAAACGCCGCAGCATGTCCAAATGTAACATCCAAAAAGCAGGAGCGGCAATTTTTTGATAAAGTAAAATGTCACAACATACCATTATGCATAAAGCACTGTGGTGCTACAGGGACAGTCCAGACTGCAAACATTGTTCTCCAGATATAAAAAAGATAGAACGTACAGAAGAAAATCATATAATCATTATTTTATTTTTAGTTGAATATATATTTGTTTAGATGACCGTTTGAATTGATATTCAATCAATCAATATCTGTCGAAATTGTCAGAATATATGTTTTTATAACCACACATCACAAGAAAGCTTTATAATGTTGTATTTATTTTGGATATTTAATCCTAAATAGAAGTTATTTCATTTTCCATTACCTTTCCCAATCTTTTCGGTTTTTGCTGTGGCTTGGTTTCAATGTTGGTATCTATATATTTAGGACTGTATTGTATTGACATTTTAGTCAAGTGTTGTAACAATACGACCCATATTCCCAAATTTCCACCTATATATGAATTATTATGGCTTCGTAGAACTTGTTTTCTATTCTTTGCTGCTTGCCCATCCTCACTGGATGGGTAAGCAGCCTTCTGTCTGTTGTGCAGAAATTCCACAAAGAATTTGTGCGGTAAAAATATTGAAAAAATACATAGTGCACTATATTGAAAATAGCACAAACAGTATGCTTTAGATGTGTTATTCTTGCTTTTAATGCATATTTTAATCCATCAGCCACAATATTTTTGGCTTGTCTGCTCCTTATCCCTAAAAGTAATTATTTACAAAACCACAACTGGACAAGAGTACCTACAAAAGTGACAGTTTTTGCAGTTCTTCCACCTCTCAGATGTGGTATTAACAGCTCTTCGTTCGTATAGATCGTAAGCTGAGTATCTTTGTGTTTTAGACTGTTGGTCAGGTGAAACAATTCATCTCAAGGCATTATGTTGGACTTTAGTGAATTGTAGTAGGAATTTTTTTATACTAGCTTCTGTTTTGTTTTTTGTTTTTTTTGTTTTTTTTTAATGAACGTAGACATTTATGAAATTGTCCAGGAAACAATCAGCAAATAAATGTTAATTACACTCCTCACAAATGAAGAATAGTTTTTAAAAAGCTGCTGTCAAAACTGTCTGTTTTTCCTTCTTTGGTAGTCAACCAGGAGGAGTTCCTCTCTATCATGACCGGAGACTCCTGATAAGAGATTTTACTGCTGCGAGGACTTTTGGGTCAGAACAGTCGTCCAGATTTTGACTGAGCGTCAACACGGACGTCCTCTTGGAGGTCATTTCATTGGCCCTGAGGTTTGTACTTGCTTCAGTATACAACAGCACTGGACTGTGTGAGAACATCGGCCACATCGCTCAACATGAAGATGACGTGTAAAGTGTCGATGTTATGCCGCTCTTTAAAATTAGCAAAATGTCGTTGAGTTTTCTGTGTTTCTGTACTCATAAAATGTGGAATTTCACCTCACAAGTGTCTCAAACATCATGTCAGACTTTGATGTTGGTAGTCTAGGTGATTATATTCACTCTATTACAAACACGTTCTAATAACTGTTGGGAAAAGGTGGACATTTTCTTCCTGAAGTCAGTCTGTATATTCTGTAGGAGGAAAAACACACATGCCATGATGACCACTTTACCTAATTGTATTTGTACTTTACATTTGAGTGCTTGAATGTGCTATTTATTTTTTACACAATAAATTGGTTTCCCAGCAAGTCATTGCTACTTTTTTTTAATTTTTTTATTTTCAGTTACATCCAAAAAACTCAAACTTTTCAATACAAAAAAATACAAAAATCAATATAAAGCCACATTTAGATGAACAGTGGATTTTATTAGACCACTAGCTGGTGATGAGATAAGGTAGTAAGGCACTGTGTTACAGACGTGATATGATAAAAATGATAGAGTTTAACTTTTTATTTCATACAGAACTAACAACATTAAAAAACAACAAAAAAACAGTTTAATTTTATTTTCGAGCTCATAGTTGTCACAGCATAGCTTAAGTATGTCGATGGTTAGTGATGAGGCGTTTCCTTGTAATTATGAGATGGTCAATCATAATTACAGAATGTTTTTGTTTTGTGAGTGCAGTGCACTTCCACAGGCAGTGACAACGGCTCAGAGCTGGTTTGGTATCCTTATTTTTTTCTGGACAACTGTACAGGGCTGAAGGGGCTGCTCAAAGTTAGAAGTTCATGGTGCAACACAACAAGTGCATACAGACTAATCCAGCACAAGTCCAACAATCAAACAATGTTAAACCATACTGAAGTAAAAGTAAAAAAAAAATAAAATAAAAATATGGGGGCTGCAAGGTGGCGCAGTTAGTAGCACTGTTGCCTCACAGCAAGAAGGTTGCCGGTTCGCGTCCCGGTGGGGGCACCGGAATCTTTCTGCGTGGAGTTTGCATGTTCTCCCCGTGCAGCGTGGGTTCTCTCCGGGTTCTCCGGCTTCCTCCCACACAGTCCAAAAACATGTTGAGGTTAACTGGTGATTCTAAATTGTCTGTAGGTGTGAATGTGAGTGTGCTTGGTTGTCTGTCTCTAAGTGTGGCCCTGCGATGGACTGGCGACCTGTCCAGGGTGTCCCCTGCCTTCACCCTAAGTCAGCTGGGATAGGCTCCAGCCCCCCCGCGACCCTAATGAGGATTAAGCGGTGTATAGAAAATGGATGGATAAAAATATGGATAGCAACAAACAATCGAACTATAAATGTTGAGCAGCTATAAATTCAATCTGCAGTGATTAATCCGTTGTTAACTCCTAAAATAAGCGACAAATTTTTTTGTTATGTTATTTAAAAAAATAAAATAAATGGCGAACTGGTGTGATTGCAGCTTCTCTTAAAGTGAATATTTTCTAGTTTCTTCCTTTTTCTGTGACTATAAACTAAAAACTTGGACAAAACAGGCCATTTAAGAAAACGTGGATTGTCTTTTCTTTTTTCTTTAAAAAACAAAACAAAACAAAACATTTTCTGTCATTTCATTTCACTGACCAAACAGCTAATTGCTTAAAAATGATGAACAGTGGAAATAGTCAATAGTTGTAGCCCTACATAAATGGAACAGACCCGCTGTTTGTTGTGGATGATTTGTCAGTTTCATCTCCATACTTGCAGTGTGACACAGGACGTACACACATGTTTATTTTAGGCCAAATTTTTGTTCTTTTAAGCAACTTTAAGAAATTCAATGTGCAGCGCCCCAAGATGAAATCATAACAGGTGGAGACTTCTCCAAAGTGGCCCCTAGATGGAGTCATTCATTCATGACAGTATTTAAAGACCATTAACAGCAAGTAAAGGCAATGAATTATGACATTAAAAATGTTCATTTCAGTTTTTTTTTTTAAACATCCTTTTTATGTAAAAATTCTGAAAAGTTAAAAGGGGCAGCTGTGCATTTAGTTACATTAATGATGTAATTGCATGAAATGGTAACAGGGAAACAATTGCAACATACAAGTGCAAATTATGACAATACATGTTTTGTTATTTTTTTGATGCTGTGTCAAAATTTAGAGAAGAAGCTCAAATTCTAAGTCACAATTACGACAAAACGTCAAATGTGAGTTAAAAGTCTAACTTGGATTTTCTGTCATACTTGTTATATTAAATTTGAGATAAAAAGCCAAACTACATTTGTACTAAGTCAACATTATGACTAAAAGTATGAGATAAAACTTTAGTTCAAATGCTTGGTGTGATTTACAGAAGTGCTGCTGAAAAGTGGAGCAGCTGTGTTCAGCTACAATAAATGATGTATTGGCATGAAAGGGTAAAAGTACAAGTATTTTAACCTCCACGTTTTGAACTATGAGTTAAAATCTGACTTCTGAGTCAAAGTCAAAACCATGAAAGATTTTTTTCTTCAAATATCATTTTTATGCCATAATTTGGATAAAAAGTCAAAATACTGATTTATGAAGTCAATATTAAGACAGAAGTAAAAAGTATGAGACAAAAACTCCACATTTTTATTTTTCATCTTTTGCTTGTGTTGAAATTAAGATTCTAATTTTGATTTCTGTGTCTTTATGTGAAAATTGATATGAAAAAACTAAATACTGACTAATTCAAATAATGAAAAAAAGTACAATGTTTTAGTGCCTTAAATCTGTCAAATCAATAAGTGGCATTATTAACAATGATACATAAATTATGACATTGACAGTCTAACATTATGACACTAGTTATTCCCTTATTGGATTTTTATTGTATACTTTTTATATCAAAGGTAAGATAAAAAGCAAAATTCTGGAACATTATGACAGAATTTAACTTAAAAATGCTTGGTACATGTCTAAATAATAGGCAGTGTTATATTAACAATGACAAATGTATTATGACAGTCCAAAAAAAAGGTCACATTTTAGATTTTTAGCTTAATCTGTTTCTGTCGACAGTTTGATAAAAAGTCCAAATTCTGACTGACTAAGTCAGCATCATGAAGGAAGTTTGAGGAACAAGTTGAGTTCAAAAGCTTGGCGTGAGTCTAATTAATAAGCAGTGTTACATTAACAAATGATGTAAGAGCATCCACTGATAACAGGGATACGATTCATGGGAGCAGCCTGTGTTCAAAACACTCCTGACAGTAAGCATACAAACATAAAAACAGCATAGAAATCTGAAATCTGATGATGCACGTGTTGAAATAATAAAGGCAGTTAGTCTGTCAAACACTGAACTCACAACAGAGATGGAGAAACCGACCACAAACCCCCTTTTAGGCGGATCCTCGTGAGCTCCCTTTCATTTGCCTCCCACAGGCCTTCACAGACTGGTTTAGATGAAGGCCTCTGCTTTACTTTTCATGTGTCACAGCCCCCCGTCTGCTGCTCGCATGATTAAGAGGGCTGCGGTTCGCTAACCCAGTTTGCTTTGGTAATAAGTTGAGCCAATCACACAATGACAGAGCGGAGGGCTCTGTGGTTTCAACAGAGGTTTGAAGTTTCTGAGGGAGACAAATGAAAGTGATTCGGTAATAAAAGGCTGAGAAGTATCCGTGTCTGCGTGTATAAATGTGTGTGTGCGCGCTCAGGCTGAAGGTCAGCACCGACGCTGATTATCAGAACCTGCATCTGGTCATTACTGCAGGATCATGACTCGCCCTTGTCCTGGCACATGCTCAGCTGTCGGACCAGAGCAGCTCCAGAAATAACCCAACCCAGTTCCTCCCCAGTTACAACCTCAAAGTCGCCCCCCTGTGGTTTCCACTGAACCACTCTACACACTCGCAGACACACACTGGCTTTTGTACTGCTAGTAGTAATCTGCGTTGATGAGACTTCTAAAAATACACCAGACCGACGGACCTCGCCAGCGTCTGATTGCTCCACGGTTTGGGGGTAATAGCATAGGTTAGCTGGAACTCCGCATTTAGATGGGTTAAAGGGATGAGGACACATCTACTGATGTTTCTACGCCGGAGTTTTGACTTTGAGGATTCTGTTTACTGTTACTATAACTGCTGTAGGGAAGATTGAGAAACTACATCCTGATAATGAACATCCAGCATGTGCACCAAGAACAAGATTGTAAACAAACAGCTCAACAGCACCGTAAAGCCAAAACCATTCTGAATCTGAGTTTCTGTTTTATCACATGTGAACATATAATGTCTGCTGAAGGAGTGTATTAAAGTGGAAGGAATTTTCAGATGTTTTACTTAACCCTCTGAACCCCAAAACCCACCAGCAGGTTTGAAAAGCACCTTTTCCGGCCAGAAGCTGTAAAAACAGAAAGAATCGTCTGGTTTTTAGCTTCCAGATGATTCTTCAAATAATCACGTTTGACGTACAGTTCTGTCAGGAAAAATAACCAAATCTTATGCTTAAAATTGTTCATTGAAATGACTTTATTCTACATGTCTTATTTACAAATTTGGCAAAAATACACAAGAGATTCAACAGTCCAACAGTCGCGTAACAACAAATTCAGAGTGTTTTCATGTATTTCCAAGCATAATAAAACATACTGGATCAAAAAATAAACCCAGCATGGCTCTAAACCAGTATTGAGAGGAGCAGGGTGTCGAAGATAATCCAAAGGTTGGTAGAGGCTGTAGAAAATATCTATAGTATGTGAAGCCTCCGTTTTTTCCCCCAGTATTAGCAACATCTGTGAACACTTGGAAAGACGGGCATGATGATTACAGGGTTTTTTAGTTTTTGTAAATGTATAACTTCTTTTTTCTTTTTTTTTTTTTTTTGATTTCTGTTATTGTAAATGTGACGTACTGCACAAAAGACATTTCTACGTTCTCTACTTCTAGACATGGTTGTTCTGTTTCCATAGAGGTGCAGGACTATGTTACAATGAAAATGAGCCCACAGTGGGAAAAAAAAATGTAATAGGGACTCTGATAAAGTTCTTATTTGAAAGTAATACAGAGGTTGTAATACGTGTTGATAAATTCATAGATAAGAAAAGGACATTCACCCTTTTTCTTGTTTTTTTTATTTGTAGTGTTCCGTGTCAGACTGCACTGTATTCTCTCTACTCCTGCAATGGTGGCACTATTTCCATAGAGGATGTTTCAGCAGTTTTGGACAAATTTGGAGTCATTGTGGCTTCAAGCCATTTTTGACAAGTTCTAAGTCATTTTAAAAACCTGTCAAGCAATTTTGCACAGGTTTTGAGTAATTTCTGACTAATATCTATGGTATAGGCCAGGATTTTTCCACCCAGTATTGGTAACACCTGTGGAC